TTTCTTTTCCAAATTTATTGTTTCCTAACACTAGGTATTAGGACAACCTAACAGGACTAACACCTTTCTTCTTTCCCAATTCCTTTCCGTAGCTCTTATATTTGCCAATCCGTAGCTCTTATATTTGCCAATCTATGAAGTTGGCTTAGCGCTATCAACACCAAACTAATACTTCGTACATGTGTTGGACATTCTCTTAGAACAGAGTATTAGGGTGGCTGGGTTATTTAGTTGAGGAAAAAGTTGCATGAAAATGTAACGGTGCTTTAGGTAGTAAATAAAATTAAACAGATACAAAGTTTTTTTTTTTTTTTTTTTCCATGAAAATGGGTAATGCCTGGACTAATTAACTCATACCTGCATACTCCTGTATTTTATTTTATTTTTCAGTTGCAGGAGGCTGTTAAACGGGGTCCTTTCCTGGCAGAAAAGAACCGTTATGCACAACCAACTGTTACTACTGATCAAAGATTTTAGATTTCTGTCACCACATTGAAGGTGCTTGTTATGACTTCATTTATGCAACAACAAAATGAAGTCTTAGGAGAGGGTTTGTAATAAAAATAGCAAAATAATATTTTCGAAAATTGTGAAATTTTGCTCTATATTCGTAGATAGGTAGGTATGTGCTGTTATGCTGTTTATTCCCTTTGTTGTGGAGAAGCTGTTTAGAAATTTTGATGTTGCAGGGATTGTTTCCCACTCATATTAAATTCCTTACCTTTTCGAACATTAGGCCTTGTTTGGTTCACCTTATTTTTATTGGTCTGATCTGATCTGATTGTCTAATTTGACCAAACTTTGACCTTAAGTGTACGATAATCTATAAGGAAAAAATATATCAAGTGGGATCTTGTTAGATTCGTAATAATGTGTAGTTTTTTAATATGTAATTTTCACAATTTTTTTCATTGCGACATTAAGAATATTTAGCGATAAAAAACCGTATATAAAACGATGTTCTGATCTGAACTTATTTTTTCTGATCTGATCTTATTTTTTCTGAAATAAGTAAAAATAAGTTGAACTAAACAAGGCCTTAGATTGTAAAATACTTCTTCCTCCATAACTTGCAAGATAATAACATCCAGCAAGGGTTTCGGCCGGTTTTGACCTAGGCTGTTGGGCATTAGCCCGCATGATGACCGACTTGGCAAAATAAACCGTGATAATTAGTTGGTTGGGCAAGGAGTACAGTTCATGTATTTTACATTCCTTTACTCAATAATCTAGTTTTATGGTTAATGCAAGCACTTTTTTTTAAAAGTGTAGATTTTATCAACAGATTTTTCACCATATAGACCTGATTTATTTTTTTATTCACCAAATACTCAAAAAAAAAAACAAATTCACCATGTACCCATGAGTTCCACAAAAAAGTCACTAAATGCATAAATGACTAACAGATGTTAACTCCATTAGTCATTAAGCCTTAATTTGCCACTTGGTAATCTATGATTGGTTGTCATTTAAATTAAATAAATTTAAAAATATTTATTTAATTAATAATCAAAAAATAAAAAAATAAAAATAAAAGACCCACCCATGAGTTTCCTAACCCTAGCCGCCATCGTGACCCCGCCAAACCCCCGAGTAGCGGTCTGGTGCCAAATCGGCTAGAACCTCGCACCGGCGCCACCTTGACCTTGACATCCAACCGGCCGGCGCCCCTAACCTTGACCTCGACACCCCACCATCACCCTAAACCCCAAAATCGAAACCCCCTCCCCTCTCCACCGCTAGCGTCTAAGAATCCCTCCCCGCGCTAGTGAACCCTAACTGCCTTCCCCCTGCCTGAACAACCACGCGAAAACCCCAAATTAAAAAACCCTAAATCAAAATCTAGGGTTTATTTTGGGGTTTTCGGGTGTCAAGGTGGTGGTTTCTAGCTATGGTGGGCGCGGTGACGTGGGGGAGGGGATCTGGGCTGCCGGCGAAGTGGTTTCGGGGTGGTTGCCTGATTTTCAACTAAGGTGGAAAGACATGGAGGGGTTTTAACAGTTCAAGAAGAGGGTGGGGGCATGGTGGTTCAGAGGATTGGGCGGGGGCACCTGCGCGGGTTCAAGGGAGGGGTGGCGTCGGCAAGTTGGGGAGGTGCGCCGACGGTGAGGAGGCTGGGTTGGGTGGCGGCTGTGAGGAGGTGGCTGGGCCAAGGTGGCTGCAATGGTGGGGGTTAAAGGTGGTGTTTTGATTTATTTTTTTTATAAAGTTTTTTTAAAAAAAATAATTAATTAATTAATTTAAAATCCAATAAGATGATGCCACGTGGCATAATTAACCCTAATGACAAACGACAATAAGTCTATTGTGCACCCTGGTCCATCTAGAATAGCTGGACCATAGGCCCATTTACACTACAAACTTCATTTCTCGCTTAAAACCTAGGCCCAAACATTCCCACTTTCTTTCTTTCTTAATTTCGCTCCCAACAGACATATGTCTTTTTTTAAAAACAAAAAAAAAAAACAAAAAAAAAAACACTAACGAAAAATTTCATTTTTTCATTTCCTCTTTCAATTGTTGAACTACACATTCTCTCTCCTCTGCAAATTGAGGAACCGACATGGAAGAAAAACAAAAAAATAGTGCAGAAAGGTAAATTAAATTTGAACGCTTAATAAAAAATTTGAACACTTTACAAAAAATAAACATTTAATAAAAAAAATATGAATGCATCACAAAAGATGAACATAAACATCCAATTTTATATGTTCATTTTTTATGCAGTAAATGTTCAGTTTATATTACAAAACTATTGAATTATTACGAGTCAGACAAATTTCTTTCAAAAAAATTGATGTTTATTATAAAGTGTTGTATTTAATATACTACATGTTCAAAATTTGCGATTGTTCGGATTTTTTTACTAAATGTTCAAAAGTATAGGCGTGGTACATTGCGATTGTTCAAATAATTTTACTAAATGTTCAAAATTTGCGATGATCGAATTTTTTTACTAAATGTTCAAAATTTGCAATTGTTCAAATCTTTTTACTAAATGTTCAAAAGTATAAGCGTGGTGCATCTATTTCTAGATGGACCAGGGTCCATAAGAAGAATTTGCGGACAAACGGAATTAACTGTCGTTAGTCATTAAGGTCACATGGTAACATTTTTGTAGAACTCAAGTGTATATGGTGAATTTGAAATTTTTTTTTTTGGATATATGGTGGATAAAAAAATAAATCAGGGGTTTTGATGAAAAATCCATTTTAACAATTAGATAGATTTTCTTAATAAATTTCTTACTATTTTCCATATAACTTTTTTTTTTTTTTTTTTGGTAAAAGAAAATGCCATAATACTTTAAAGTTAATTTCAGTAATTTAATTGTTATGCTAATCAAGAAAAAAATAAATGGAGTAATATGCAAAGTGAGATGCTGACTCCTATAAAAAATAAAAACGCAACTGTATCAACATTTCCACCTACCACGTCAAAAGTGAAAATCATGTTAGCACTTAGCAGAATGCACCCTTGTTATAGTGGTAAATTAAAAACATGCGTAGAGCTTATTACCCTTATTTGAATTTTTCTTAAAGTGACTTTATTTAATGAGCTTTTTTGGTGAAAAATTAAAAATAAGGTAAATAAAACATGAGTTGATATTTTAATTACCTAAAAAATATTTGAGTATTTATTTATAATTTTCAATAAAAAAAAATCCTAACATTTGATTACTCCACGCATATTGGGTTAATTATGATTGATTGACATATTAGGTTAAATGTGACTGATTGATTGACATAATTGTCAATGTATAAGTTTAACAATTAATTAATCTTGTATACATTAAGATAAATCTAAAATCATTTTCATACTAACAATTTTTTTTATATTGCTTTTATTTTCTGTACGAAGTACTTCTTTTTTTTTTTTTTTTTTTTTTTTGAGGGAAAGAAAAAAGGAATGGATCATAACCCTCTCCTCACGAGAGGCGATTTTAAAGCATCTAAGGAGAGAATAGGGTATAAAGTTAAAAAGAAACAAATAGAAATATTCAATTTGTTGGTGATAAGATGTCCAACATTCGTAATCTAATCTGTTGCTTTATTCGCTTCTCTGTAAACATGTCAAATTTCTCAATAGGAGAATTTGCAAGGTAGGATCTTGATGTCTGCTATAATGTGATCAATTAGCCACGGGGTCGGTCAATATCGTTCACAGGAAATAGTTTCCTCTCTGTACGAAGTACTTGTGTTGATGACTTATTTAGTATGAAGTGTCAACATACAAGATTGCCACTTAAATTTTAATAGTAAAAATTATTGGGTAATGCTAGGGCTATATATAGCATTAAATACACTCTTAAAAATTGTATAAAATTATTCATGATGAAAACACGCGTAAATCAGTGTAATTAGTGTTTATATTTTTAGATTTCTAACTTTATATGATTTCTTAATGTGTATTTAATGCTTAAATGTAGCCCTAAGGGTTATGTATAGCATTTTCAAATTATTATAAAAGCTAATTAATACGGATTATGATCAAATAAGTTCACATTAGATTTTTTTTTTTAAAGTTCACATTAGATTTAACTTCAAAATTCATATGGGGTGTTGGACAGGCTGAAGCTGTTGCTATTAGGTACGGGTCTTCAAGTGGCTTGGCGTCTTGGCCATCGTAGCATCTGGATGGAGACTGACTCTTGGAATGCTTGCAATAGAGTGAGAAACCGAATGACTGGCTTTGCTCCTTTGTGTCTTGTGTATGATGATATCTTCAAGCTTGCTACAAGTTTTGACAACTTTAGCATATCTCATGTTAAAAGGGTGAGGAATTCCGTAGCTTACCTAGTGGCGAGGTGGAATACTCAGGGTAATTTAAAACATTTGTGTATGGATTTATTTCCGCAAAGCGTAGTTGCTTTGGCGGAGGCCAATTTACATTAATAAAATTCCCGTCCTAACGTTTTTCCTAAAAGAAAAGAGAGGAAAAAAAAAAGGTAGGTAAGTGAAATTTCTGAAAAGAACATTATTCGAGTACTTTGCAGTGAAGTGGGCATACAAGGGCAAAACAGGAACTGAAATCTGTTGCGGATAAGAAAACCTCCCATCTCCTCCTACTCAAAACTCAAACTGTGTCAATTGAAATCCCAAAAACAGATAGTTAAAAAAATAAGAGATAATGGCTGCCATAAGCATGGCTTGTGTTTCTTCACAATGCTTATCCCTTTCTTCCAAACTCCATAATCTCTCTCTTTCTTCAACCCAATTGCCCAATTCATCCCTCAAATCTCTCTCTTTCTCCGCTAATTCGTCTCGCACCCTTTTTTCTCAGGGTAAGATTTTACTCCATTCCTACTTTTTTTAATGTTTCTTTCATTTTCTGGTATTATAGTTACAAATTACTTGCTTTTATTTTTGGGTGTTTGGTTTTGTGGGTTTAATTTTATTGTAATTTTAGCTTTTTGAATATTAGTATTACTTGTTTCTGTTTTGTTTGAAGTAGTAACAATTCTTTGAATTTGAGCAGAATGATTTTCTACCCAATTACAATGAGTGAGATGCTTTTAGGTCTTGTAGCATAGCCTCTGTAATGTAGCTGGTAGCTATGAATTGGGCTCGCCTTTGTGTTTCAACATGAGATATACCTGATATAAGTCTCTCAATGATTAAATTTGAGTAATTTATGTGGTTTTCTATGGCTTTTGTATTCTAGGATGCTCTTCTCTTGGCTCATTCCAGAGACGTGGCTTCTCAGTAGTCTGTGAGGCTGCCACCGAAAAGAAGGCTGATTCTGCAGCTAAAAGAACACGCCAAGCAGAGACTCGACGCCTCAGGAACAAAGCTCGCAAATCTGAGGTTAAGACTCGGATGCGGAAGGTAATTGTCTTGTTGCTTAGTGTTTTGATTTAGGGCATGAACCTAATATTAAGTTTAATATTGCTCTGAATCTATTTTCAGAACCTTTGGTTTACTGTGGTCTGCAATTGGTGTTGTGAATTGTGTTCTCTTTAGCAATTGTTGTGTTACCTTAAAGATAGAGCAGTACTGCAGTAGTAATTTTGGCTGTTAAGTACTTGAGTTTGATTTTCTTAACATTTGGCAGTTTCTGGTTTACCATGATTTTGTGCATAAAAAGAATATCACCTCTGTGGCTCTATGGGCTTGTTGAATGGCAAGCATGAAATAATTCCTATTCCTTTCTGTAACAATATTATATGTCCCATTTAATCATTCATATGAGAAGTGTATTGAGCAACCATGGTGTACTTTCTTAAGGTAGATTCTAATAGGCTGTTAGCTTAGACATGTGGATGTAGATTCTAAGGAATCGTTCAGTCTTAGAAGTCTGTTGCTTTATCAGAAGACTAGGGCCTTACGTTCTAGATATAGTTCTCTGTTTGTCCAATAATCTTGATCACCGAGTGACTTTTGCTTGAATACCCTATTCGTAAGCGATCATATTGCTTTTACTTGATCATGTCACAGGAGAGTGTGATTTGAGGGGAGATGAGATTGGTAGGGACATGGAATAGAATACTGTCTCCCTCATTCCAATCCCTAATGGACTAAAATGTGAAGAAGTAATTAAAATATTCACACTGCTATTGCATGACATCAACATCTACATTTCCCCAAGTCAGTTGCGTGGATGTAGTCTTAGGCCTGTAATCATGTTGAGGTTGTTTTCACTAGACCACTGATCCGGTAATGCAATGACCATGCTTCTTCTTTATGATAGTAAATTAGGTATGTCAGTGCAGATTTTACCCTGCTTTTGTGTTCATTGAATTTTTTTCCCTTGAATGGAAGAGTCAAATTCGCCTATCTTGAACTCTTTAAAAAACAAACTGAGAATCCATGCTTTTTCACTGTAAACAGGAAGCTGTCAACAGTTCAATTAGCATTTTGATTTGGCTCGTCAAATCATTGTGATTTTTTCTCCACTGGTGTAGATCGACACTCTACCTAAGCACATTATGAACCAAAAATCATCCATGAGAGTGTTATCAGCAACCACTAGACATCTCATGTGGCCTCTCCTTATTCCTCTTTCCAGATACAATTAATATGTCTAACCATCTCTATGTCCTGTTATTCACTTAATTAACAAAATAAAAGACTAATCAAGTTACCTTTTTTTCAATAATAAGATTGCTGTTACTAAAAGTTAGTAGGGGTTGTCTCACAGCTGTACATCTCATTGTCACCTTTCTTTGTATAGTATGAAAATGTCAGGAAGAAAAGACAACCTACTCTATGGGCTGTGGTCTGTGGAAGTACTGGCTAGCTGTTACAGGGCTTTTCCTATGATTTCAGTTTATGCTTTGTTCGCTCGAGTTTGTTGCCGGTTGTGACTATAAATGTGACCTTGAAATAAACTAAGATGAAGCCTTATAATCATCTTTTAGCAGCTATTTTATCTCGCTGTTCTCTTCGTCAAAGTTATATATGTAAGTGTACAGTTTTCCTGAAATTTAGTGAATAACCAATGTTCTGTAACTTCTGAGTTTTATGTTTATTCAACTTCTTGATATTGGTCTATTATTAATATCATACAAGCTTATGTATGTTGCCTGTTTGTTAACTTCAGGTTTTTGAAGCATTAGATGCACTGAGGAAGAAGACCGGTGCAGCACCTGAAGATCTTGTACCAATAGACAACCTGATCGCTGAAGCTTATTCTGCCATTGACAAGGCAGTGGTAAAAGGTACCCTACATCGGAACACTGCTGCACGCCGCAAATCTCGGCTGGCTAGGAACAAGAAGGTTGTGGAGATCCACCACGGATGGTACACACCTGCCCCAGCACCAACTACTGTTTAGTCTTCCTTTCAATTGTAATTAGTACTCGAGTTATATGACCTCTCAGAATCACTTAATGTAATGTTGTAGCTCAATATCAATTTTTTGTTATGTTACAAGTGTTACTTTGTAGCTAACGAACTATTTATGATTGTGATTTTCTCCCGACGCCTGAGTCCTATGAATTCTTCATATGATTTTCAAGTGACTGCATTTTGAAAGATTCAAGTTTTTACCTCTGCAGAAATCAGCCTTGAGTGTGGTAACTGGCCCTTGTACCTAAAATTAGACTTGATATTCAAATGTTGTGCCGAAGAAATTTTGGCGCCTTGAAATTGTGTTGACAAGAATAATATTGACACTACACTTGTTATTAGACAAATTAAATACACATCATCAATAATGAGTTTCAATTTATACTTCCTCTGTATATTTTTTAAGCGAAACGTTTTGACTTTTTGCATATTTCACTTTGACTAATGTTGTACAATGGCAGATATGATTTTAAAAAACTCACTACTAGAGTTGGGCATAGGCGGGCCGGCTCGCGGGCATCATGGGCACGGTACAGTAGCGGCCCGACACGGCACGAGCCAGCTAGCGGCACGGCACGACATGAGGAATAAGGGGTGGGTCGTGCCGTGAACAAAAAAAATAAAATTTCGACACGAAACCGGCACGAGCCCGCGGACGGCACGAACTTTTGGCCCGCCAGCACGGCCCGCGGCACAGCCTGCCAGCATGACCCATAATAATAAAAATAATTAAATAAAACTATAAATAATAAAAATAAAAATAAATTTTGTAAAAATAAAAATAATAAAAAGAACCATAATAATATAAAGAAATAAAAATAATATAAATAAAAATAATAAAATTAATTAATAATAAAATAATGGGTTGGCCCACGGCCCAGCCCGCCAGGCACGTGGGCCGTGCCGTGGGCTGGGGTGTGCCATTTGGTGGCTCGGCACGGCCCGCGACGGCCCGGCATGGCACGATGCCCAACTCTGCTCACTACCCATGGCAGATATGATTTTGATATCCACACCTGCCCATTACTCACCTAAGTCAAACCCATACTCGTTCTAATTGGAGATGGATGCGATGTGGAATCCGCAAAGTTATACCCTCTTGTCATTCTTATAACCAAATTTAGAAGCAATATCTATGGACATTACATTTACTAGTTAAACTAGCACTTTATTTTTTTAATTTTTTTTTGTGCATACAAGGGCCAAGCCTGAAAACAAAAAATTACACAACTAAACGGGAAGTAGTAACTCCCATAACATCCTCCCAAAGTACGTTCTTTATTTCAATCGGAGGAGTATCGAAATAAACAACAGTAAAAGAAGTCTGCCACCTTATTAACCTCCCTAAACAAAACACAAAGTCAAAATTACAACCAAAAGAATGTATTAAAGAACGACAACTACTGAGAATGTGCACGCATTCACCCCCTAGGTGCTCTCCATCTTGAATAGCCTCTAAGCACTTTATGCACGCATTGCTTGTGTATTTTAACTGTCTAATATAATTCTATTACATGTACAAATTTTAGGAACACATCAATATATTAATTTACGAATCTAAAAGTGTGAAGATAAGTACATTAAGTAGTAGAGCTTGGTACCTCCACTAACAAAGGTAGCGTAGCGAGTGATTGCGATTTCAATTAATTTTTTTAATGTCAAACGAAGAGCATAGATAGAATGAGTTTGATTGATCGTAATATTTGTAAAGTGTAATTTGCGTATTAGTTAATTAATTGTATAGATGGACATAAATTAAAATATGTAATTTGTTTATAATTTGACGTAATTTAAGTAATTGATTGTTATTTTTATTTATGTATTATTTGTTGATTGATTGATGTTTTAGTTTTAAAGGAAGAGGGGTGTTTTAACTTTTAAGTGGATACCACAACCTCTCCTTCCCTTATAATCTTATATAATAGAGATGACCAAAACCAAAGATAGAAGCAATATCTATGGACATTACATGACTAGTTAAATGCCCATAATTAGTAACTTTATTGACACTACATTACTAATAAGATGCTAATGGTTAGCAACCTATTCATTTGCTAGGTTAACATAACATGGTTATATTTATAACAATTTGATTGGAGTAAAAGGTACCCCCTCCATTTCATAATGTTAGTCTCGTATGTAATCAATCACATAAAATAAGAAAAGAAGAATATTTGGAATCAAACATTAAAGTACATAATAATTAAATAATTAGTTTACCTTATTTAAGTTTTTTTCTTTTTTTTTTCTTTTTTGGGAAAGCATAAGTCATAATGCATAATTTAAGGTCGAGATTTCCTTACTTAGAGTCATGTCATCAATCCACAACCAATTAATTCCAACAAAATTAAGTTAAAAATGGAACATATTCAATATGGGTAGATCTTTTTGAAACGCCCAAAATAGTATGTGGGACTAACATCATGAAACGGAAGGAGTAATTAATATAACTGATGACCAAGGTGATTGATATCTAAAAAAAATCTAAAAACAATTTAACTTCAATAACTACTAGCATATTATCAATTTATCATTCCAAGAAGGAATTCAAAGAGCAGTACGTTTGTGGCAAAGCACAATGATGAATCTAACCAGGCCATTCCCTCTATTCCCAAAAAAAGTTTATGTTTGGTGGGTTTACACGGTTAATAAGGATAATAAGATAGTACTCCGTAAAAAACAATGATTAGATATCACCTATATCAAGTATTAAGACATTAAATAAACTTTGGAAAAAATGAATATTTGCATTGGGAGTATGTGAATATTTTAGTAAATAAGAATAGTTGCATTGAGAATATGTAAATATTTTGATAAATAGGAATAGTTGTGTGGAGATTATGTATGTATAAGGGAAATGTGTAAAAAAATAAATAAATAAATAAATAAAAACGTAACCATTAAAGAGGGGAATGCCAAATAGGGCAAACGTAACACTCTTTCAGGTTCGAAAAGAGTACATATCAGAAGCATTTACTATACATCAACAATACACAACACAACTAACATAATGTTCGACGTAAGCAGCCTAATCAGTTGTCGAATTACCACATAACACGTTAGTCAGAGCAGCAGGGCAAAATGCATAACAGTATCAGCAATTAATGTGGCAGTTATCAAAAAGAAATAAAATAAACTAAAGAAACGCTTTTAACTGCTATAACAACCACTAAATTATGAGCGACATTGTCCATGAAAAACTCTAAAGAGCGATAACTGACAGAGACTAGCATAATATATATACCAAACTATAAGCTTTTTAATTAAAAAAGGAATTGAAGTCAACACATTACCTTCTATTCTTCTAATAATAGTAAAAAAAAAAAAAAAAAGAGGGTTCAAATCACTTAATCACATTACATTACCTAAGCATTTAGAATGAACCCTTCAAAAAAAAATGAAAGGATAAAGATATTCATTCATTCATTGATATTCCAATGAAAACTTGGGTTGTACCATTAAATGGCCGTCCAAATAGATTTGACTAGACAACTCAATCCAAACATCCACGCACCCTCACGCTCACTCTTTGGAGCGTCAAGTATTCATTCCGCCAGACAAAACCACACACCCCCACTTCTTCGCTATTTATATCCCTTATTTCCTTTGTCTCTCTTTTATCCCACAACTCCCTCTTTCTCTCTCTAAAACTCCCCACTTCCTCTCTCTAAAAATATGGCTCCTAAACAAATCAATAGCAATAACAATGCTCCTCATAATCCTACTCCCTCCTCCGCCGCCTATTCCGCGGTAGTCGTAACACCACAAACTGAGATTAAATATCGAGGGGTTAGGAAGCGGCCGTGGGGCCGATATGCCGCCGAGATCCGTGACCCCTTGAAGAAGACGCGCGTGTGGTTGGGCACCTTTAACACCGCGGAAGAAGCGGCGCGTGCTTACGACAACGCCGCCCGAGAGTTCCGCGGTGCTAAGGCTAGGACTAATTTCACTTACTTTGATCAGCAGTGTCTCAGCGCCAATGGTGATAATAACAGTCTCACCACCGTCGAATCTGGAGGCGCGTGCGTCGACGCGCATCCGCCGCATCTCGGAATTTCTCTCTCCGGCGCCGACAGTGGTGGTCCTTATGTGATGTACGGAATGTTAGCAAAGAGAGTGAGTGACATACGAGAAGCGTTCAGGTGTGGGCGCGTGTTGGGTAGCAATGATGGAACGCAGAATCAAAGTGAAATATCAGCCGTTGTTTCTGGTGATGGACGGCAGAGGATGGTTTTTGATCTTGATCTTAATTTGGCCCCACCTCGAGAAGTTGTATGAATGATGATTATCTCATTGTAGTTCTTTGAAATGGGCCCCACTTTAAATTAGTCTTTTTTTTTTATATTAAATTTTAATTTGGTGGTTTATCTTAAGATTATGATGAAAAAAAAAGGGAAAAAGAAAATGAATAGAAGACAGGAAGAATTAGGGAGGAGAGAGTTGAATTGCGAGCCTTAATTTTGTATTTTGAAGATAAAGGCGAGCTCTTATCTTGTCAGAGTTTTTGTAAATACAAGTAGTAACAAACATCCTTTTTATTTAATTAGTAAATTATTAATCTATTTTTATTATAGTTATTAGCATTTAATATTATTATAAATATTCTCTAAACAAGCATATAAGGATCTTGTTGGTTGAAGAATTATAAATAAGGTTTGTTAATTAATCAATTGGCACGTTACTTGAATAAATTAATAAATTAAGTGATAAGTTTGGTAGTTAAATATACTTCAGTACAATATATTGAGAATTTAATTGATAAAATGGGTAGTCAAATACTACCTCTGTTTTTTTAGTTAACACCATTTGACTTTAAAACTATTCACAAACTACATTTTGACTCGATTTTGTGATTAATAGATATGATAAAATATAGTTACGTGGGATCTTGTTTGAATCTTCTCGATATATATTGTATTAATATCCACTTTTTATAATTTTACAATGTTGATAATTAGAGATATTAAACGTTAAAAACATGCGTTGGCAAGCGTAATAATAAAATGGTGTCAACTTAAAAAACCAGAGGTAGTATTATATTGAGATATTACTTGTCATCAATTTTATTTTCTTTAATTGAATCTAACTTAATTTTCATTGTTTTAAATTTATTACAACTTAATCTAAATTTAATTTAGTTGCACATTAAACTTAGATCGGATAAGCTTTATTTACAGAGTAGTTGTTTAAACTAGTTTGATTTTATTTTTAATAAATTTATCTTTACTGGCCTTATATTAATTTTAATTTTCTACAAGAGGTAAGATGAACAGAACAAAACTTGAATCACATTTGGGTATTTGGTTTAATGCATCTGATTATCTTTGTAAAATGGACTATTGCTAAATTTTTTTAACTTTTTTTTTTTGAAACAAATTTTTTTAACTTTTTGGTTTGTAATGAATGAACTGATGAATTATTAGAAAAATAAAATGACCAATGAAATTTAAAAAATTAAATTGTTTCAAAAAAAAAAAAAGTTAAAAATTAAATGATAAATTAAATTTCTTTGACCTTTAAATTACATGGAGTAGTCAAAACAGTACCCAAACAGTCACAGACTCACAGTAGTGATTGACGGTCTTGAATCATGATGAAGTACGACCATTTAACCTTTAAGGTAAAATTTTTGCAAAAAAGCTTTTTAAAAACTTAACAAGAGTTAATTAAATTACAGGAGTAAAGCATACAACTACTTAGGGGTGTTCGCAGTGAGGTTTTGATCCCAAAGCGCACCAAAGTGCAAAATTGCGATTTGTATTTTTTTTCAAACCGCATTAAACCGCACTTTTAACCAAACCGCACCGCAAAATACGATTTGGTGCGGAGATTTAACCATAATTTTTTAAAATTGTACTTATTTTTTAAAAACAAAACTTTTATTTTATTTTGAAATTATTAATTTATACTTCAAATATTAAACTTTTTTTTTAACCTTTAATTAGCTAATAGTCAAAGATTAGCTCCTATATTTTAGTTATTTTATAATTTTTTTAAAAAAAAGTAGTATAAAAACCGCAAACCACATCAAAGTGCGGTTTGGTTTAAATTATTTTAGAAACCGCACCAAACCGTAAACCGTGATTTGGTCATTTTCAAAAACCGCACCGTAATTTTCTAATCGCAAACCGCACCAAATTGCAAATCTAATCGCAAACCGCACCAAATCGCAAAATTGCGTTTTGGTGCGAACCGCACTCTAAACAACCCTACAACTACTCCCTAAACTTAGCCAAAAGTTGCACTTTACTCTCTAAACTCTTAAAAGTTGCAAGTTACTCACTACTCAGATGGCCGGAGGTCATTTTTCAGGTAGTAACCTGATATAGCAGGTTAACACCCTAAACTTTGCCTAAACTATTGTACTAATAGGTAAACTCCCTCAACTTTGGTATTTTTTTCTATATTTTTTAATTTAACAATCTAATCATGTAAGACAATGGGAACTCTTAAAAAACTAACTAAATTTTTGACTTGGAAGGAAATTATTTATTTATTTTTTCCTTTGCACTAGTTTGGTTCGTTTTTATTTATTTATTTATTAATTAGATGATCCATATCCATTAACATCAGAGTTGAAAGAATGACTTACCAAATCAAACAATCATAATTAAGATTGTTCTTCGAATTAACAAGATGAGCATAAACATTGTGTGTCATTATATATCACATAGTAATTAGTTTGAATGTTTGATTTATTATACACATTAAACTTTTATAATTAGCAGACTTTAGCAAAGAACATAGTGCTAAAAATCCCTTATTGTATCCTTATATATAAAAAAAAAATCCCTCATCGTCGTATGAATTTGCAGTTGCGTGCATTGATAAAAAAAAAAAAAAAAAAAAAAAAACTACTTAGAATTCTAATTTTTTGTGATACGATGATTTAGAAAAAATTTTAGAATTTTTTGTGATGTTGAAATTAGGGTTGCATAATATTAGTACGTGGCTATAACATTTTCTAACTAAAAAGCCCAAAAACAAAAAAAAAATTAAAAAAAACCAAAAAAAATTGAACTAAACCAATTCAAAGGAGATAAATAAATAAATAACTTGCTTCCAAATCAATATTTTAGCTAGTTTTGAAATTAAATTATATAAATAGCCGTTTTCGTAAATATTTTTAATAAATTAGCCATTTTGGTAAAAGATTCGTTGTTTTAATGTTTTGTCACTACTATGTATTATATATTAAGGTTTTTTTTTTTTTTTTTAATTTTTTTTTGGCAAGAGCTAAAACAGATTGAAAATAATTATTAAAGGAAGAAAAACTAGAATTAGCTATTTATTCAAAAAATAAAAAAGACTTTGCTATAATAGCCATTTTTTTTCATTTCTACAGAATAATTCTTCTTTTTTTTTTGTGGGAGCTTTCTTCACTATTTTACAAAATAATAACAAAGTATCGAAAATGCATTGTAGTGTATATATATTGCTGTTAGAATGTTTTTTTTATGTAATAATCGATTTTTAATTATTATTATTATTAGCATTTTTGTAATGGCTAGTTAATTAAATATCATGTGAGGAAGTTTAGAAAGTTTAGGGTGTGCACTAACTTTTATGTCAAAAAGTTTAGGGAGTTCCAGATAATTATGTCAGAAAGTTTAGGGAGCTCTACCAATTAACCTGTAAATGAAGGTCACAAGAGGTTATAGTGAGTAACTTGCAACTTTTAAAAGTTCAGTGAGCTAACTGCAACTTTTGACTAAATTTAGGGAATAATTATGCTCTTTACTCTAAATTACAGTGTAGTTCTAAAGATATTTTGAATGTGGTCGGTCCCAAACATAAAATACATCAACAATAAGTAGGAATATTTACCTCTTTTTTTCTTCACATTTCTTATACAATATTATGATAACATTATTTTTTTTGGTATATATGAGTATTAAAAAAAAAAAAAAAAGAAAAACTATTTTTTTTTTAATTTTTAAAACGAAAATTGATACTCCCCCCGTCTCATAATACAATGTCTCTTTTCCTTTTAGGGTAAACTAAAATGCAATGCCTCTTTCTATTTAAAAGTTTTACTTTTTAACATTATTACCCTCTTTTTAATGAGTTGTCATTGTTTTTTCTTTTCTTTTTTGTACTTTTAACACCAATTTCCAACACTTTCTCTCTCTATCTCTTCAATTATTCCCAACTACTTTTTCTTTCTCTATCTCTCTCTAACCTCATATACACATATATACTATGAGACGGAGGGAGTACATTCCAGTAAAATCTCACATAAATATGTTATTGTTAAATTATAAACTTCTGTTGCATTTAAAATCTCACATAATTTTGAACATGAATGAATGGATAGCATCAATTATTCTAAATGGCACAATTTTCGGATCGAATGCTTCGAATATCCATTATCCAATTTTAAGTTAAATTGATTATGATTACTTTATAAATTTCACTAATTTTACCGCTTTTTTATCATTAAGTTGTACAACATATTTTAACAAAATAGTAGTTTTTTTGCAATAAAAAATATCATCAATTATATTAAGAATATTTTAATAAGTTAATAATACAGGTCAGTTTTATATGAACTATTTTAAACAATTTATATATATTCACTATTTCAACTTTTATATTTTGGATATCGGATATCTGAAATTTGAAAATCAACATCTAAATCTGCATCCGATATCCGTTTTTTCGGATCGGATATCCGATCCGAAATGAAAACTCGAATCGGATATCCAAAAATTCAAATCGATTATAGATCGGATTATGATAACCTATTATTTGGTATGATTTTAGGGTACTTTTGAACCTTGTTTTCGTTATTACTCGGCATCAAAGTTCATTTTTTATCCTATTTTTATGCAAATTTTGTACCATACATGCTTCACGGGTTGTTTGTGTTTTTAATGTAATGTAGCTATTTTTAGCACTATTGATGTGATCAAGCACGAGTGAGAAAGGATAAGTGCAATCTTGGTTGATAGAGCCATGGAGAAAGAAGGAGGAGTGTCTTAAAGAGAAATGAAAAGCTTTTTGAGAGCCTTGAAGGGTTGTTTGCGTAAGTGTCAACTTCAACTGACCGTAACTTTTGATCTACTCAACCTTTTAAAGTGATTCGAATTGGAGAATAAAGTTCGTCTCAAGACCTTTCCAACGATTGATCACAAGTCCATTTTAAGAAAAAACAAAGAAGTTACGGCTTTCCAAAGTTAAGCTGTCTAGGCAGGGAATTCTGCACGTCCGTGCAACAATTTGGCACGCCGTGCAAGGCTACACGCCCGTGCCAAAATCTACACGTCCGTGCAGACTTGCTCGATTCATGGCAGTAGCTACTGCCCACTTTTTCACCCTTTTGCACGTCCGTGCCAAATTTGGCATGTCCGTGCAAGCCTGTTTCCAGGCTCTTTCCTCGTTTTCTCCGTCCTTTTTGTTTTGAGGGTGATATATTTACCCCCTTGGCTCCCCTTGGACGGGTATTGAATTTTTTAGAGATTTCTCTTAGTTTGTAATCCAAGAACATTAAAACTCTCAAATCAGTAGTTAGATTTTAATTATTAGCTTGGAAAACTCAATTTCAACCATTGTAGAAGACAAGATTCCACCATTGTTGTTCAAATTTGAAGCTTCTAGTAACATTCTCTTTTCTTACTCTCCTATCTTCTCTCATCTTAGTTGTTAATTACTTGTTTAATTCTTGCATGCTTAGATTGTTAATTAGTTTAATTCTTAGTTTGAATTTGTTCATGAATTGCTTAAACCCTTTAATTGCTTTATTTTCCATGGATTGTGAGTAGTCTATTTTCTAGGGTTTGGGTAAAACCCTCAATGCAGTCACAAAGAATTTATTGCATGTGCTAATTTGGTAACTATTAGGTGTTAATTAGTTGAGCTTAAGTGGTTTCATTGTTTAGTTCTTGTATATGGCCATTGCTAGAACTATTTATCCAAGCTTTTTCAACGAAGGATCGAGAGATGAACTTGTGTTAGCTCCCTTATGCTTAATTGACTTGCAATGCCATGAGAATAGGAATTTTCAGTCAAGGGATTGTTTATGTCATCGAGATTATTCTTTAACACTTGTTTAATGCTTTTTAACCACGAGAATAGGTTGTATTCATGATTCAAGTAATCCCTCTAGCTTGAGAGAGTAGTTGAGTGCCTTAGATGACTTCCCCTATTTTATCCCCTTAATTCACCTTGATTGTTGCATGCTAATTGTGATTTGTGATGAAGTTGAGTGGTATAACCCGAGCCCTAGATTCCTCTTAATATTGTTAATCTCCCCTTAGCTTTTAGTTGTTTTGAACTAGTAGAAGTTACTTAAAACCAAACCAATATCGACTTCATTTAGCTTACTTAAACGGTAGTATCTCGGTGGTTGATTCAACGCCTCTCTTGGGTTCGACCCTTTCTTACCCTTGCTATTAGTTAGTGAGATCAAGATAAGATTTATCTAGGCTCGACGACAGCCTATCAAAATTTTGGCGCCGTTGCTGGGTAGGCAAAGCCACATTAAATGTATTATTGTTGAATGAGACTAAACATGTGTATATGTATAATAGTTTTCTTACCTTAATTTTTTTTATGTGTGTTTAACTTGTGATTGTCATTGCTAACGTTTTTCTTAGCTTTGTTTGACTTTGCATGACACGAAAGAGTATAAGCAATCACCGCTTATTCCTGTTGATCCAGAGCTAAATAGGACTTTGAGAAACGTGAGGAGACTTTTGCAAGGCACACCCGAGTTCTCCATTGTATATTCGGATTTTGGTCCAGAAAAGGTTTTTGGAACCAACGAAGAAGATAACATGGGAGAGAATCCTCCTCCACCTTTGCTACAAGACTATGACCACCCCAACGCATTCCAACTTCGGAGTGGCATACGTCTCCCCACCACGAATGCAAACAACTTTGAGCTTTCACCTCAACACATTCGCATGATTCAAAGAGATTAATTTGGAGGTAGTTCTCATGAGTGTCCTTTCGCTTATTTGGACAACTTTCTTGAGTTGTGTACAACCATCAAGCAAAACAACATTTCGGAAGAGTTCATCCGTATGCACATGTTTCAATTCTCCCTCCGTGATAAATCAAAGCATTGGTTGAGAACGGTTGAAGAGGGATCATTGAGTACATGGGACGAAGTCACTAGAGCCTTTCTTGGAAAGTATTGTCCTCCGGAAAAGACCGCCGAATTAAGAAGAAGGATCAACAATCTCAATCAAGACATTGATGAAACATTGAGTGAAGCTTGTGAGCGTTTCAAAGATTACACAAGGAAATTCCCCCACCATGGTTTTACATCATGGATCATTGTACAAAGCTTCTATGACGGTCTTACTCCTATTTCAAGGGCCAACCTTGATTCCTAGGCCGGTGGTAGCCTCAAAAAGCTATTGGTGGATGATGCATATAAGATGATTGAGGAAGTGGAGCAGTATGCATATGGAGGTGATCAAAGGCAACCTCAAACAAAGAAAGGCGGAATCCATGATCTTAGTGCAATCGATCTTATTGCATCAAAGTTCGACATGCTAGCTCACAAGCTAGATCAAGCCACCCTCACACCCTCAAGCTCCTCTTCACAAGTCATGTCTTGTGAGACTTGTGGAGGAAACGATCACTTGTCCTCTTATTGCAACTCAACAAATCAAGAGCAAGCGGCGACACTTAGGAAAAGAAAAGAGCAATACTCCCAATCCTACAACCAAAGTTGGAAACCCCAACAAAACAAGGGATGGAAGCTACACAACTAAGGACCCCCAAAAAACAACTACAACCAAAATCAAAACCAACCTCAAAACCACTATAACCAACCCCAATCTCAAAACCAACAAGCTCCATATCGCCATCCTAACCAAAGGGATCAAAACCAACAAAGACCACAATATAACCAACCCACTCCTCCTCCTCCTCCTCCACCTCCTCAAAAGAATAGCCTTGAATCCGTTCTTGAAACTTTCATGACACAACAAGTAAGGAACAATGCGGATATAAATGCAAACATCCAACAACTTCAAGCGCACAATAAGATAATTAAGAGCCAATTTGCTCAAATTTCACAACAAGTTGGAAGTTCATCCTCCAATCCTAGTGGTCACTTTCCAAGCTCAACAGTAGTGAACCCAAAGGAGCAAGCTAAGGCTATTACTTTGAGATCGGGAAGAGGTTATGAGGGTCCGGTTATGAGTGAAGAGGAGCCACAAAAGAGAGATGAGGGAGTTGTGGTGAGAAGTGAGGATGATATTGAGAATGAACTTGTTGAACTTGAGAGAAAAGAGCAAAAAAAGAGTGATGAGGGAGCCACAAAGAAAGATGAGGAAGATGAAGAAAGAATAGAAAAGCCCCCCATTCCATTTCCTCATGTAGTTGTAGAGAAGAAGTTGAATGAAAAGTTCTCAAAATTTCTTGAAGTCATGAGAGGACTTCAAATGAACATTCCCTTTCTTCATGCTATGTCACAAATGCCTACCTATGGAAAATTCTTGAAGGATCTTCTATCCAACAAGAGTAGGCTTTAAGAGAGTGCAACCATCTCCCTTCCTAAGGAAGTGAGTGCAATCATTCAAAACAAGCTTCCCCAAAAGCTTGGTGACCCCGATATCTATGAAATATTGTGAAGATTGGAGATTTGGAAGCCATGGATGCTTTGTGTGATCTTGGGGCAAGTGTGAGCTTGATTCCCTATTCTATTGCAAGAAGCTTGAATGTTGGAGACTTGAAACCAACTATAATGTCCTTACAACTAGCCGACCGCACGGTTAGGCTACCTTTGGGAATTCTTGAAGATGTGCCAGTTCAAGTTGGAAGAGTATTAGTGCCATGTGATTTTGTAGTAATAGAGATGGAAGAAGTTACAAGAGTACCTCTCATTTTGGGGAGACCATTTTTGAACACCGCGAGAGTGGTGATTGATATGAAGAAAGGAAGATTGACTTTGAATGTGGGAGATGAGAAAATTTCATTTTCATTCTCACAAACTTTGAAAAAGCCATTGATCGATGAGGTTCATAGAATTGACACATCGGAGAGGGACTTAGAAGAGTTCCGAGAAAGATTGTATGAAAGAGATCCTTTACAAGCTACCCTAACAAGAGGCTTAGTTGAGGAGGGTGAAGAAGCAAAGGGGTATGGTCTATTGCTCAACCAACCTTTGATCCACGATGTGATGAAATTTAAAGTTCTTAACGTGGAAGAAAAAGAGGAGAGGACTACGCCTCCTCCTAAGGTTGAACTTATACCCTTCCCCCTCTACTTAAATACGCTTTTCTTGATGATAGTGAAAGTTATCTCGTTATTGTCAATTCTAAGCTCGATGACACCTCTCTTGAAAAGCTCCTAGTTTTTTTAAGGGAGTATAGAGATGTCATTGGGTGCAAAATTGATGACATTAAGGGGATAAATCCCACCATATGCATGCATAAAATTCTACTTGATGATGATCATGCTTCCTCGATTGAGCACCAAAGAACGCTCAATTCAAACATGAAGGAAGTGGTGAAAAAGAAGTTGTGAAACTTCGTAAAGCGGGCATAATCTACCCTATCTTCGATAGTAAGTGGGTTAGCCCGGTTCAAATTGTGCTTAAAAAGGGAGGCATGACCATCATAAAAATTGATAAGGGTGAGACCATTTCTACGAGGTCGGTCACCGGGTGGAGGATGTTCATTGATTATCAAAAATTGAATAAATCCACCCGAAATGACCACTTCCCACTCCCCTTCATAGATCAAATATTGGAAAGACTAGCATCAATTAGTCATTATTGCTTCTTGGATGGATACTCGGGATTCTTCCAAATCTCAATCCAACCCGAGGACCAAGAAAAGACTACATTCACATGTCCATTTGGCACCTTTGCATATCGAAGGATGCCATTTGGACTTTGTAATGCATCTTCCACATTTCAAAGGCGTATGATGTCTATCTTTTCCGACATGCTTGAATCATCAATCGAGAATCATGGATGAATTTTCTATTTTTGGTTCATCTTTTGACACTTGTCTTTCGAATTTGATTAAAGTGTTAAAAAGATGTCAAGAGGTGAACTTAGTTTTGAATTATTGATATTTTCATTTCATGGTAGAGGAGGGCATTGTTCTTGGTCATGTGATTTCTAGTAGGGGCATTGAAGTAGATCGTACCAAGATTGAGGTAATTGAGCGCCTCCCACCCCCTACAAATGTGAAGGGGATAAGGAGCTTTCTTGGACATGTAGGTTTTTACCGCCGGTTCATAAAGGATTTTTCAAAAATCGTAAAGCCGCTCACTCAATTATTGGTAAAGGATGCCATTTTTGTGTTTACTAATGATTGTTTGCTAGTATTTTATAGATTGAAGGAGGCCTTGATTTCGGCCCCTATCATTCATAACCTTAATTGGGAGCTTCCTTTTGAGCTCATGTGTGATGCTTCGGATTTTGCCGTTGGGTCTATTCTTGGACAAAGGAAGGACAAGAAGCTCCATGCTATCTATTATACTAGCAAAACATTGGATGAGGCATAAAGAAATTACACAACCACGGAAAAGGAATTTCTAGTCATTGTTCATGCAATTGAGAAGTTTAGGTCCTACTTGTTGGGCTCTAAGGTCATAGTCTTCACCGACCATTCGGCCTTGAAGTAACTTTTGTCTAAGAAGGAACCTAAGCCAAGATTGATACGGCGGGTCTTGCTCTTGCAAGATTATGATATTGAGATTAGAGACAAAAAGGGTGCTGAAAATGTTGTGGCCGATCATCTTTCATGGGTGCCTATCTTTGTAGGTGATCTTGATAACTTGCCAATTGATGATTCATTTCCAGATGATCAACTATTTGCTATCCTTCAAGCACCAGCACCATGGTTTGCGGACATTGCAAACTACTTGTCTTGCTCTATCCTTTCTCCCAACATCACATATCAACAAAAAAGGAAGTTTCTTCATGATATTCGCCAATACTTTTGGGACGACCCCTTGCTCTTTAAATAAGGTGTTGATGGCCCTTTTTAGAAGGTGTGTCCCAGATGATGAGATTGAAGATGTTATCACAATGTGTCACTCCTCACCTTGTGGGGGGGCATATGAGTGCTAACAAAACCTTGGCGAAAATCTTGCAATATGGTTTCTATTGGCCTATAATTTTCAAAGATGTGTGGGGTGTAGTGAAAGCTTGTGATCAGTGTCAAAGAACCGGCAATATTTCAAGAAGAAGTGAAATGCCCTTGAACAACATTCTTGAGTTGGAGATATTCGATGTATGGGGCATAGATTTTATGGGGCCTTTCCCGACTTCTTTTGGGAATAAATTCATTCTTATTGCCGTCGATTACGTGTCAAAGTGGGTAGAAGCGGTTTCATCTCCTACTAATGATGCTAAGATGGTGGTCAAGCTATTAAAGAAGGCCATTTTTCCAAGGTTTGGGGTGCCACGAGCCGTCATTAGTGATGGAGGTTCGCATTTTGCTAAGCGGTCCTTCCAAACTCTCCTTGAAAAGTACGGTGTGAGGCATAAGGTGTCATTGGCTTACCACCCACAAAAAAGTGGTCAAGCTGAGATTTCAAACCGGGAGATAAAAATGATCTTAGAGAAGACGGTGGATAGGTCTACGAAACTAGATGATGCACTATGGGCCTATCGCACCGCATTCAAGACTCCCATTAGCACCATACCTTACAAGCTTGTATATGGGAAATCATGCCATTTGCCGGTAGAACTTGAGCATCGTGCTCATTGGACCATTAAAACGTTTAAGTTTGAACTTCAAAGTGCCGTTGAAAAGAGGTTTCTTGACCTCCATGCCTTGGAAGAGATAAGATTGGATGCATATGAGAGTGCACGGATCTATAAGGAAAAGACCAAGGCTTGGCATGACAAGCATATCAACAAAAGAGAGTTCAAGGAAGGTGACAAGGTCTTATTATTCAATTCTCGATTGAAGTTATTTTCGGGTAAGCTAAAATCAAGATGGAGTGGACCTTTTACGGTCAAGAAGGTGTTTCCATATGGTGCAATTGAAATCTCCAATGACAATGGTGAACCGTTCAAAGTGAATGGCCAAAGGCTAAAGGCATACTTTGACGGTTTTGTGAATGAAGAGGCCAAGGTTGTTCATCTTGATGAGTTTGATGTTCCTCACTAACGTTGATACCGCAATGTCGTCAAGCTAATGATGTTAAAGAAGCACTTACGGGAGGCAACTCGAGTTCCTCACTCTCTCTCATAAACTATTATTTCAATTGTATTATTTTTATTATTACTAACCTTTTTTTTTAAATATCTTTTGTAGGTATTTGTTGAAAAGTGAAGTAAGAAAAAAAAATACTTGAAATCGTGCATCATCAGGTCTGCACAGATGTGCAGAACATCGCACGTCTGTGCAGCTGCGTGCAGAGGCAATCAGAACTTCAAGGATCAAAATAGAGATTTGGCACAGACGTGCCAAAATCAGCACGTCCGTGAAACTCTGCGTGCAGAGGCAATCAGAACTTCAAGGACAGAAATAGAGATTTGGCACGGACGTGCCAAAATCAGCGCGTCCGTGCAGTTGCCTGCACGTCCATGCACTTGCAGGCAGAACCAAACCGCGATTCTGCTTGAAGCTGCACGTCCGTGTCAACCCCTGCAAAAAAAAAAAAGAGCAGTAGAACGACCATAACAGGAAAAAAAAAACTCACTCCTCTCCTCTCCTCTCTTTCTCTAAACTTCTCTCCCTCCTTCACTTCTCACTTAAATCCTCACAAATCCCACCCAAATTCAACATTTTATACTAAAATCTTCACTCCTTTTCAACAAATTCTCAAACTACTACTCCTTCTCCATCTTTAAACCCAAAAAACCACCCAAATTTCCTAAACCCTAACCAAAAAAATCAAATTGGGGGTTTTCTTGTGGACTAAAAAATTAAGGCAATTGGTTGAAGGAGAGCATTCAAGCAAGCATAAGGAAGGTTAGAAAGGTTCATTTGCGGGTTTTACACCCACGACAGACTCGGTATAATCGTTCCTCCCCTTTACTACTTGCTAGCTTAAATTCATGAATGTTTGTGTATGAAATTGCTTGAAAATAAAGTTGTTTTTATTGATAATGAGTGAATGATTGTTGATAAATGTTAAGCATTGTTGAATTTGAGAGTGTTTTGTGAAGGTTGTGAGAATTGGATTTTTGTAAGTGTGAAATTAAGGAGTTGATTTTTATGAATGAAGAGCATTATGCTTGCTTAAGTAGATTGTTGTGTTGATTTGTTTAACAAAAGTGCATGAATTTTCTAAAGATTGATGTTGAATTGTTGTGAATTGAAGTGGTGAAGTAAGCCTTGGTTGTTTTTGTGATTTGCTTCGACCTGATTCTAGGTGGTGGACTCAGAGCCCTAGTGTGTTTTGTGTGGTGCTTGTTGGTGTTGTTTGAGCCTTGAATTGTTGTCTTAGTGGACTTAGGGTCTTTTGTGCGTTTGGTGTGGTGATTGCTTTCTAGTGGTGTGTTTGATTGCCTTATAAAAGTACCGATCATTTCTAGGAGGAACCAACCAAGAAACACCTCTTC